TGACCCAGGAAGTGAGGTGGTAGAGACAGGCTATGTACATAGTTTTAAGAACAGGTGCGATAAGAGACACGCAGCCAAAGAAGGGGAGCCAAGTAGAGGGGACAGAAGCTGAGAATAAATCAGCGCAACCACAAATGAGTGAGCACAAATAGGGGAATACACAGGACGGATTACACAGGATAGAAAACACACTGAATGGAATACACACTGAATGGAATACACACTGAATGGAATACACACTGAATGGAATACACACTGAATGGAATACACACTAAATGGAATACACACAAGATGGAAGTTTCACTGGGTGGAATACACAGAGGATGGAATAAACACAGGATGAAACATTCACAAGACACAATGCCTACTGAATGGAATACACACAAGATAGAAAACGCAGATAAGACGAAATACATACATCATGGGTTACATAGGATCAAATACACTCAGAATACAATACATTTAGAATCGAATAAATACGATGGAATACACACGAAATGGTATGTACAAAGAATGAAACAAAAAACATAGGGTGGGGTACACACAGGATGGGATACTCACACAAGGTAGAATGTAAACAGGATGGAATACACACAGAATGGGATACACACACAATGGGATACACACACAAGGTAGAATGTATACAGGATGGAATACACACAGATTTCGTGACTTCAGTAAGGCAACGAGATTATTGTCCAGCATTGCATTAAGTAGAGTTTGTAAGCAGCAAGGGCTGTAATATTCTTATATGAATGGTTTAGAAAACCTCATCTGCCATCAGTACATGAGCCTCTTGCCCGCGAATATGGATGCACACTTTTTTTTTGTTTTTTTTTTTTTTATCAAGATGGATGGACCGAAGACATTAGGGTCTGATAACCACAAACTCCTCCTCTTCCATCTTTCTCCGTCGCTGATTCCCCTCAAGGAAGGTTCCTTGATGCTGGTGAGAGGCTCTTGATCTAGGGAATTGGATCTGTGCTCCAGTTCCCTGAATTAAACCTGAATACCTTCCACATGCGCCCCCCCCCCTTCCACAGGCGCTGTATAATCCTACGGGTTTAGCGTTCCCCCCCTTGATTATAATCTGCAGCGGACTGAAGAACCCAATGGCTGGCGGAACGTTTCCGAGTGTGTCTCGTAATGTTCTTGCGCACACGAAGGGAAGGAGAGACGGAAGGAAGAGAGAACTTAGTTTAAAAGTGAGAGAATAACGGAAGTGCGACGATATCTAGAGAAAAGTTGTAATGAGAGAACGCGAGAATTTTAAAAGGAGTTGAGGGAGACTGTTGAAAATTAAGTGGTAAAAGGGGAGGATGGAATGTAGAAGAAAGAGATAAAAGGCTAAAGTGAAAAAAAAAGGAATGGAGAATTTGAAGAAAGAGCATTAAATAGATTATATAGGTAGGAAGAAAGTAGGTGCGTGCAAAAAAAATAAATAAAATAAATGCGAAGAGGGTGAAATGGGGAAGAGAAGAACAAGATCGTGAAAGGAGCGAAAGGAAAAAATGAAAAAACGAGGAGGAACACGGCGATGGAGACTCAAGCAAATAATTAACGAAAGTAATAGGGAACAGAGAGAAGTGAAAGTGTACGTCAGAACCTTCATTGTAGTTGATAACACGGACGGGAGTGAGGGAGGGAGTTGACATAATACGGTCAATTGAACATTAAAATGGTATAAAATACCGACAGGTTGTTAGGTAAGACACATATGCAACAGTTAGGTAGATACCTAACTGTTGCATATGTGTCTTACCTAACAACCTGTCGGTATTTTATACCATTTTAATTTTCAATTTGTCAACACTGCCAACAAACTCAAGGGTATCTTGGTACAGACCTGCAATCAACTTTCGACAACTTCCACTAGTGAGAGCGGCTGGATTGAGAGGGTACCTGAACTTTTCAACTTCCTTGAGTTCTTACCTCTCCTAGTGGCCTACGTCCTCACCTCTTGGCGCAATAAAAAGCTCCATTCTGTCACTTCATCTCCATATTGTTTCATACTATGGAACATTGCTCTTCTCCAGACTGAGGGACTGACCACCTCAAAACTTTAAGGGTGATGGACTGATTACATCGTCCGTACAAAGTATCTTCTGCTTTCCTCTATCAACATTTCTGTAAACTTGACTGAAGAGCCTACTGTGGTAGCGAAACGTTTCATAATAAAGATACCTAACTGTTGCATATGTGTCTTACCTAACATAATACGGTCAAAATGATGATAGAGGTGGAAGAGATGGAACACAGATTACAAGAACACAAAGATAATATGGACGGAAGAAAGAAAGCATAGATAACACAAACACAAGAATAATACATATTCAACGGATTTCTTTATTTACTTTATGCCTGCCAGTATTTATTCTTGTTTTATTTCCGCACATTTGTTTGCAGCCTCTGCATGTATCACTGTATTCAGACCCAATATGTGTGACTGTATCCATGTATATTTATCTATGCTCGTGTATTCATCGCTTTACGTGCCCACGTATCAAGAATTTTTCAGGACGACTCTTCATCCTAGGATCTTCATCACGGGTGACTTGATGCTCGCGAAGGACTCTTGATCCAAGGATCTTCATCGTGGGAGCTTTGATCCTGAAGTATTATTCTTGATGCTGATAGACTCGTGCCATAAGAGTGCGAAGATACTCACCAAGTCCCTTTACAGGCGACGGAAAAGAATAATAGAGCGGCTAAAAGAGGCCAATATATCTGAAATGCGTAGGGAGTCACTGGTCAGAGAAATAGCAAACATCGAACTTAAGCTAAAGGAATCTTATAGGAGTCAGGAATCGCAGAAAGAACTAAGCCATAAATTAAATCGAAAGAAACCCAAAGTATTTCTTTTCTTATGCCAAATCAAAGTCGAGAACAACATCCAGTATTGGGCCCCTACTTAAACAAGATGGGTCCTACACAGATGACAGCAAGGAAATGAGTGAGCTACTCAAGTCCCAGTATGACTCGGTTTTTAGCAAGCCGCTAACTAGACCGAGAGTCGAAGATCAAAATTAATTTTTTATGAGAGAGCCTATCTGATGTTATCCTGACGCCAAATTACTTCGAACAGGCGATAAATGATATGCCAATGCACTCTGCCCCAGGGCCAGACTCATGGAACTCCGTGTTCATCAAGAACTTGCAAGAAGCCCCTTATCACGAGCTTTACCATCCTATGAGAGGGAGCATGACACGGGGGTCGTCCCATATTACTAAAAAAACCAAAAACAACAGACTTAGCCCCACTCCACAAAGGGGGCAGTAAAGCAGTAGCAAAGAACTACAGACCGATAGCACTAACATCCCATATAAAAATCTTTGAAAGGGTCCTAAGAAGCAAGATCGCCACCCATCTAGATACCCATCAATTACACACCCAGGGCAACATGGGTTTAGAGCAGGTCGCTCCCTGTCCTCTCTCAGATACTGGATCCACTACGACAGGTCCTAGATGCACTAGAAGACAAAAAAATGCAGATGTAATATATACATATCTTGTGCAAAAGCCTTCGACAAGTGTGACCATGGCGTAATAGCGCACCAAAATGCGTACTAAAGGAAATAACAGGAAAAGTTGGTAGATGGATCTATAATTCCTCACAAACAAGAACACAGAGTAGTATCAACAGGGTAAAGTCTGAGGCGACTACGTGAGAAGGCTCTGTTCCACAAGGCACAGTACTCGCTCCCACTTGTTTCTCATCCTCATATCTGATCTAGACAAGATGTCAGCCACGAGCACCGTTATCTTCCTTTGCAGATGACACCCGATTCTGCATACAGTGTCTTCCATTGCAATACGGCAAGGCTCCAGGCGGACACAACCCAATCTTCAGTGGGTGCAGAAAACAATATGAAGTTCAACGATGATAATTTATCAGTTTCTCGATATGGTAAACATGAGGAAATTAAAACATCAGAGTACAAACAAATTCCCTACCACAAAATTGAGCGAAAAACCAACGTCAAAGAACTGGGAGTGGATTATGTCGGAGGATCTCACCTCAAGGACGATAACATTTGTATCCAATCGCATCTGTTAGAAAAATGACAAGGATGGATAATGAAAATCTTCAAAACTAGGATGCCAAGCCCATGATGACACTCTTCAGTCACTTGTTTCTATCTAGGCTGGAATATTGCTGCACACTAACAGCACCTTTCAAGGCCAGTGAAATTGCTGACCTAGAAAATGTAACAGATACCCTTCCACGCGGGCATGAACGGAGATAAAACAAACTCAATTACTGGGAGCGCTTGAAGTTCCTGAACCTGTACTCCCTGGAACGCAGGCGGAAGAGATTAATGAATTAATACACCTGATGGAAAATCCTAGAGGGACTAGTACCAAACTTGGCACACACGGAAATCACTCACACGAAAGCAAAAGACTCGGAGAAACGAATGCAACATCCCCAATGGAAAAGCAGGGTGTCACTACCGTTAAGAAGACAATACAATAAGTGTCAGGGCCAGAGACTGTCCAACTGCTCCCGCATACATAGGGGATACCAATAGACCCCTGGCTGTTCTTCCAAGCAGGGCACTGGACAAGCACCTAAAGTCGGTACCTGACCAGCCGGGCTGTAGCTCGTACGTTGGATTGCGTGCAGCCAGCAGTAACAGCCTGGTTGATCAGGCTCTGATCCACCAGGAGGCCTGGTCACAAACCGGGCCGCGGGGGCGTTGACTCCCGGAACTCTCTCCAGGTAAACTCCAGGCAAGTCCAAATCTGAATATCCTCTCATTTCTCAGGCTGTGTATGACTCCCACGGGTATATCGCTTCCAAACTAACGTATGAGCCAGTAGACATGCTGCAGTGTCCTTTATTATGTATTCATGACGAGTGTATCTATGTATCCAGGCGTATGATAAATATCCGGCAATATTCCATGTATTTAGTTTGCTCTCTCTAACTCTCAGCTACTCACTACCTCACTGGTGATACCTGTATGGAGGTATGCACACACTTTTGTTGTTTCAG